GCAAACGTGAAAGGTGCATCCGTGCCACAACAGATGTGCGCGGATGTGCTGCAGCCGACAATAACGTGGTTCTCCGAGGGGTTCTCGATAATAACGGTACTAAATGTGTCGGTGATATATAAAGGTCAGAAATTTGTCGTCCCTTTGAAGAACACTCTCTCTGCCGTCCGTAACACACTCCGTGAGCGCGCGACTGGTTCCTGCCTAGGGGAGCACGGGGCTTCCATCCAGCCTCGTCACGCCGCAAGAGGCCGGCGCGAGCACATCAGGCAAAGGCGTCGGCGTGTTGTCAACGCGCGAGGGAGCGCAGCGAGTGCATTGACCCGGCCGCGCTCCGCAGAGCCGTGCCGTCATTAGAGCATTTAGTTCCTGGCACCCAGAAAAACATACCTTTGATTATCACGTCAAAAAGTGCTGCCGTTTGTTCCAAAGGAAATTTTGACTTTGATATAAAGATGAACTTAGTTAACTTGAGGGAATTCACTTGAATTGACGTAATTCAGCTTGAAATCCAAGTCAAAATTTTCCCTTTGGAACAACGAAAGCACCTTTTGACGTGAAATCAAAGCTACGATTTTCTGGTTGATACCCTGCGGGAGAAACCTCATGCATTCTCGTGCTTTTAAAAGTTCGGGATCATGCCAGTAATTTTATTTCCCACTAATACGAATGTTTCGGGAAACGTAAATCAAACACGTTTTTATTTAATCTAAGCGCGCAATTTTTTTTCACTTTCTTGAAAGCTGTGAGCGATCGCTATAGCACACGGGCACCACCTCGGGGTGCTCCGGCCTTTAGCAGCGGTTTAGGTTAGGCGTCATGACATGTTCGTGATGTGCATAGAGAGGAGCGAGGCCGCGCTAACGGTCAAGGCCCCGGGCACGACAATAGGGACGGCCGAGGAGGCGAGAGCAGAGAGCAGAGCGGAGCGGAGCAGAGCGGCGCCGCGAGAACGCGGTGATCTTTCATAATGTTATTAAAGCGCGGCACGACGGACGGACGGACGGACGGCGGCGGTCTGGAGCTGGAGAGTCGCGCCTGGAGCGGCCTCCTGGAGGCGGAGGCAAAGGCAAGGCCCGGCACCGGCGCGGGCCTGCTCCAAATAATCGCGCGTTCGTTCGGCCAGCGTGGAAACTGCATCGCGGGGCGGGCGGGGCGAGATGGGCGGGCCGCTCAAGCAAGAGCTTTATTGATTTGTCGATTGCACAGCAGCGCTCTGCTAGCTCTGTGCACGCACGCTCCGCGGTGTGGGTGGGCGCCGCTCGCGGGCCGCGCTCATGTAGAGCTCAGGGCCGGCTCCAGCGCTCAGGTCTCCCGCTCGCGCACCCTCGAGGCCGCCGCGTCGGCCGAGCGGGAAAAGAAACCTGATTCCGCGATGATTTTCAAAATCTTCTATACTGGGATTTTTACGAGTGACTTCAGCAAAATTGAAAAAAACGGTCGAACAAAACGTGAGGTTGGTTTGGTATTTATAAGCAAGTTTTGGAGACTTAAGAGGTTCCAATTTTATCATTTCTCAAAAACTTTCGTTTTCTTTTAAACTGCAGTAATAATAATTGTTTCTATCCAAGGATTGTGTGGATTTTGCGCGGTTTCGCCGAATAAAACTGTATAAATAAAATCATCTGGATTTCATTTCCATGTACCCCTGATGTCGTATGCTGTGGTGGGGCACTCACCTTATCCGCGATGCCCTCCAGCTCCAGGAGGCGGAACTCGAGCAGTTCGTTCTGGTCTCGCAGCTCGGCGAGCTCGGCGTTGAGGCTCTGCTCGCGCTGGCGCAGCTCCACCACGTCCTGCAGCGCGTCGGCCAGCGCGCCGTGCTGGGCCTGCGCGCCCGCCCGCGCCCCGCGGCTGGTCCGCGAGAGCGCGCGCTTCAGGTCGTACACCTGCGACTCGAGCTTGGCGCGCGTCTGCCGGTCCTTGTTGCGGCTGCTGGCCTGCAGCTGCTGCAGCTGCTGGTAGGCGCGCTGCAGCTGCAGGTGGTCGCGCATCAGCTGCCAGTAGAGGACGGCGTGCGGCCCCAGCTGCTCGGGGGAGGGCGACGACGAGCCGACCAGCGACTCGCCGCCGGGCGACGAGGCCCCCGACGACACCCCCGTGGAGGGGGTGACGCACCCCGCGGCCATCTGCGGGGACAATTTTTTGTTGATTGAAAATTGTAGAGACTACGGTTGGCCACTGAACGCCCGGCGGCGCGAAACTTTGTTAGACTTACATCGTTCCAGACATCGCCGATGCCGGGGGTCGGCGAGAGTGACGAGGGCCCCGACGACAGGGGTGACTCGGAGCCCATGAGGGACCCCCCGAGGGAGTCCCCGAGGGGCCCTCCCAGTGGGCCCCCCAGCCCTAGGTGTGATCCGGACGGGTACTCGTCAGCCTCGGACACCGGCTCCAGAGAAATCAGCTGGACGGGAAAAAAAGGGTCAAATCAACACTTTTTAAGCTGATTGTACGCTATCCGGGATTATTTGTTATCAGTTGCGTATACTAAAAACACGAAAGTGATTCTTTTTCCGTTTTCTTTGATTCTTGTAGTTCTTTCGCAGCAGAAACCCTACACCCTTTCCTTTCACAGGTGCAGGCACCAAAACGATCCACAGGTACATTCTTCTATGTACGTTTAATGAACTGGAGGCTACATTATTTGATACTTTCAGCAAACAAACACTGCTCCATATGCCGCCTTACCCTGTGGAAGTGCCGCATGAGCCCTTCCTCCGCTTGTACCCCGGCATTCGTGTCGCTGGGTGGGGCCGCTCCCTGGAACACAACGAGAAAACAAAATAAAGCTCTCCGTCAACAGAGTCGGTTTAGTTTGGCCCCCGTATGTTGGCGGCAGTGTGCCTGTGTGTTGCAGCACCGGCGGGACCAGCAGGGCCAGGGCCGGCAGGGCCGGGCGCAGCCGGAGCGGCGGGCTGTTGTCCCCCTAACAGCGAACGCTTTCTCCAAACGCCTGGGCACACGGCCTCTGCTGTGTGCGCGCCCGTGTGTGTGTGTGCACACTTTTTACCGTACGGTGCGCTTGTTCTTACCGATTGACTAGGAGAGATTCGAACAATAGGCGCGAGCTACTCGTAGTCGTGATGCGTGCAGGCGCGCGCGCGCGCGCGCGCACACACACACGAGCGCGAACACACAGAGTCATCTCCCCGAGAACACCACCGTCACTTCCGTCATCAGTTCAGCCCCCCCCCCCTCTAACCCCTTAACGTCGTTATAACTTATAGCATCAAAGAAAAAGTCACCGTAAACTTTGAGTACGACACAGTTTTTATTTCTAACCGTTCACGTAACATCAGACACGGGGAGGATTATCAGAAACTCTGCTGCAAGTTTATCGTGACCACTCTCAAGTGCTGCTAAAAATAAGGGATTAGGGGAAAATATAAACAGCTTGTGCTGCGTGTAAATCGGACTGCTACAGAAATCCTGCAGTTGCTTGGTTTTTACAACACTGTCATCGACACCGCCTCTGGCATGGTCATGGTGCCGCCCCCGCCGCGCCCATCACCGCCGACACACAGCTGTCTCGCCCTTCCTCTCCTTTCTCCCGTGCGCCGCTCTGCGCCGCTGTGCGCGGTGTAATGGACAAGTCATCCCGCCCGCCTCCGCCTCGAGGTCCAGCGCCGCCAACCTCTGGACGGACAGGTGATATATATTTGGCGAAAAGTAAAAGTTGGCAGCAAGCGAATGGAGCGCGGCTGTGCGGCGGTGCGGCGAGGTTGGCGGCCCTGCGCAGGACCCGCTGCTGCAGCGCGCAGATTGATGGGCTCGAGTCAGGCAGGCAGTGTTACCAGACCTGGAAAGGCTGCTGGAGAGGAAAAAAAAAAGGAAGGATGCGAGGTGCACGCCCTGCCGGCCCCTGCCCTCGGGCAGGCGCACACATGCCCGCTCACTTCCAACTTAAATAAATAGACTGTGAATATTTTTTTTTGGGAGGAAGTGTTACCGAATGTCCCAAGAAAACATACCGGTAGCATGTGAAATAATAAACAGTCGTAAATAAGTTACAAACTCAAAACGAATCGTAAAGGTGGAATCAGAGTTCCCTAAAGCGAGCGTGATTCTCACGCACAGCGTAATTTTCACGCCCGGCGTGATGAAAGTCGATCCCTGATTGGCTGCGTGAAGCTTACGGAGCGTGAAAATCACGCCTGGCGTGAAAATAACGCTTACGTTTCGTGAACTCTGAATCCACACTAATACTACTTTTTTTTTCCATCGCCAGTATTTATAGACGTAGTTTTCATCGAATAGCAGGAATTGAGTGTGGCAAATTCACAACCTCGTTTAATGTAAATCAATATAATGAAAGAAATTCAATTAATTTTCAATTAATGGCACATTGTTGCATTTTTCGTTTGTGCTTTTTAGAAGAGCAGCCACGTCTGGACAAAATTCATGGAATGAAATGTTGACTATTCTGTGCGGAAAATATAGTTTAGCCTGTCCTACCATCAGTCTAAGACGTGTCCCGTCCCGT